TGAAACCCCTATGGAGGAGTTCTACTGTCCACACAAAGGGTCACCATGAGTTGGAATTTACTCAATGGCAACTAACGGCAGCAACATAATTTTCACTAATATGAAATGTTATAAGTTCACACTACCAGGATTTCTTTAACAAAAATAAAAAAGAGAGAAAGAGTAAGCATTGTTTCTTGAATTTCTTAAAATATAATTTCAAAATATATAATCTGTGGATTTATGTATAAAACTTGTATGTGAAATCATAGCATTTTAAAGTTGAAAGGGTATTTGTTAAACTGCTTCATTTTATAGGTGAGGCCAGTGAGTCCTGGAAAGGCTATGTTTACTAAACTAGAGCTGAATGAATGCAGATCTTAGACTCCAAGCTCAGGGATGTTTAGACTAAAGACAGACTGGATGGTACAGTACGATATTTTTAGTATCACAGAAAGAAAGAAAATGGATAGATTCTAACATCATGCCTTGTTGGGGACAGTAAATCCTTTCCTTGACATTTTCACAATTAATACCTTCTTTGCTTGAGCGCATTTTCACCATTTACAGTGTGCTTCCTTCCCATAATTTTCATTCATCTTTCATTAGAGTTTATTAATTATCCTGTATGCCAGGAAATTTGCCTTGGAGAGAAGATGATGTTATATCCTTAACACTTTTTTTAGAAATGTCTAACTTAACCTACAAATCATCAAAAAAAATTCCTTCCTTACTGAAGATAGTGAGGTATAATAGTGCTCTGGGAGTATTTAGTTGTTTAAATAATTTCAGGATTCAAACACTGAAATAAACTTTTCAAAATTATTCATAGATTGTTGTTGTTAAGTGCCATCAAGTCAGGTCTGACTCATGGTGATCCTGTATAGGGTTTCCAAGGAGTAGTGGGTGAGTTTGAACTACCCACCTTTTATTTCAAACTGACCTTGCCGTCCAGTGCATTAACCCACAGCACCACACCAGAACTCCTACTCATAGATAGTTGTTAACAAAAACTATGGACTACTGGTATGTTTTATGTTTGTCCAAAGAAACCAGTTCTCATATTTTGCCTTAGCTTAGCTGAAGTTGTGCATAGGTAATTGAGTTAGGAAAGCCTGAGAAAGCTCTAACTAGAATGTAAGAACTTTTATTTTAAGACTGCTGGTGGTGGTGTGCCGTGGAGTCTGTTCTGACTCATAGCGACCCTGTATAGGGTTTCCAAGACTGCAAATCTTTACGGGAGCAGAAAGCCTCATCTTTCTCTGACGAAGCGGCTGGTAGTTTTGAACTCCTGACCTTGAGATTAACAGCCTGACTTGTAACCACTATGCTAACCCCTCAAAAAGTAAAAATGATAACACATCCCAGCTCATGCCATGCTAGTCCATTTCTGAGTATCATAACGTGTTCTCAAAATGAAGTAATTTATATTCTAGCCATGCTTTATTGTGTGCACTGAGTAATTTCTTCAGAGCAATGTTTCCTGTGGCATATTGCCAAAGCTGGCTTTATTTGTTTTTCATTAGGCTTTTTCATTATCATGCTGTTATATACCTGGATCGTTCAGCTTCCTCTGAGATGACTCGTGTAGCTTAAGCATAGGAATGATACTTTGAGTAGGTGGAATATTTTTGTCCACTGAATACCCACTTTCAATCCCTGGCTATAGTACCATGCTAATGGCTTTAATCCTTCTAAGAACATTCAATTTTCCATCTGTAATGTAGCCTGATATTAATTGTTTGCATTCACCTATTCTATCCCCGTCCTGGAAGACATTAGTCTCACTTTGCTCCACACTCAACTTGCTTTGCTCATCCTCCTTTACTGTCTCAGGAAAAGGCTTCAAGATCCGCCCCATTGCCCAAGCCTGGAACCTGTGTGTTTTCTGATTTCTCCATCATTTCATGCTTTTAATCACCAAGTCAAACTTCAAATCCATTCACTTCACTCTACTTTCACAGCCAAGTGATATGATCTCAAGAACAATTTCAGTACCCTCCCTCTGATCTCCATGACCCTAGGATTACCCCTCCCAAGCCTTTCTCTTTTGCTCTGAATGTCCTTCGATACCTATTATTTTTCATAAGTAGATCTTCTCTAATTTCTACTAAGAAATACTTTTGTGTTACATTACATTAATGTTCGATTAACTACATTATTAGGACAGAGTTTGATTTGTCAAGAAAAAATTAGTGATCTAGATGTGAACTGCTCTAAAAGTTCCTCAGTTTAAATGGAAAAATCTTGGTTACAAATTCAGAGAGACTAAAGTTTAGGGACAAATAAGCAGTCTATAAATTTCTGTATTCAAATATTAAGCAGAGTGCAGAAACCATGTGGGAGCCGAGTCTGACTTCCCCTGATTGCCCAAGAGGGAGAGGACCAAACTCAGAATCATCCCAAGGCTGATTCCTATGAAGTGGAGCTCAGACATGCTTCCACCCTAAAACCCTCTTTACCCTGCAGCACTCTCTGCTTCACATCTGGGTTCAATAACCCATTGTAATGGCCACACAGTGCTCATAATAACACTCACAATTATGGGCTTTATTAGGGAAGTGAACAGGGACAAAACCAACCCAGGACACAGCCCTTCTCCAGTCAGGAGCACCTCTTGTTTGCCAGACTGCAGGCATGCCTCACTCTGCTTTGCAGCCTCTCAGCCATGTGGTGCCTTGACCTCTGCTCTGCTGGAGGGAGCACGTGTTACAAAGTTCTTTCAGCCAGTCTTTAAATGCCCAAAGGGCACAGTCTCCAAACCAGAGTCTCCTACCCGAAGGCACTCAGCATTAGTCCACAGGACTAGAGTCCGAAGCTGCTCTGTCTCTCCATGCTACTGCCTCTGCCATGGCCTCTTGCCTCATCTCTGTGGTCACTTCTGCTGTTGCTGTTTCTCTAGGTAGGAATCTCATGTGTCACTCATGCTTTTCCTGCTTAATGATCCTGGGATCTTCCATCTCTATTTCTGAGATGGCTCCTTTTAAATCTAGCTGGAGAGCAAAACTAACCAATCCCAACCTTCGAATACTGTGTACCTGATTGGGTCCTGTCCAATCACTTGTGAATTAAGAAGACTTTGAATAGAAAAGCCATATCAAGTAAATTCAAGGCACTGCATAGAGGTTTTTAAAAATCATTGAAATCAGACAATTTCAGGGCTGATTGATCCTTAGAGATCATTTGGTTCAACTTCATCACTATAGAAGTAATGACAGTAATACCAAGTCACAGAAGCCAAACTGTCCTTCTAAATCTGTCATCTCAACATGTAACTTCTTGTCTTAAAGGCTGACCCTAGCTTCCCATTACACTTGGGTTGAAATCTACATTCCTCAGCACAACAAACAATATGCATATGCACTGGTCTCTGCTTATCTTTCTAGCCTTATCTATTGCTTCTCTATCCAGCTTATCCCAGAACTTAATGCTTCCAAATATTGAAAGTGCCATGGGCTGCCAAAAGAACCAACAGATCTATGTTGGAAGAAGTGCAGCCAGAATGCTCCTTACAGCCCAGGATGGCCAAACTTCGTCTCTCATGCTTTGGACATATTGTCAGGAGGGACCAGTTGCTGAAGAAAGATATCATGTTTGGTAAGGTGGAGGGTCAGAAAAAAAGAGAAAGAACCCCAGCAAGATGGATTGGCAAAGTGGCAATATCAATGGGCTCAAGCATGGCAACAATTGTGAGGTTGTCCTAGGACCAGGCAGTGTTTTGTTCTGTTGTGCATAGAGTCACTATGAGTCGGTACCGACTCGATGGCACCTAACAACAACAACAACTTACCCATAGGTCATTGCCCATATTTTCCCTTTGCTCTTTCTCTTTTGGGTACTAATTCCTAAACATCCTTCAGATATCTAAGGAGACTTCATCTCTTTTGAAAACTTTTCTCAGATCCTCTCTGAACTCCTAAGCATGTCGTCACCATCATATCACATTCACAATACTCTAATTACCTTTGAACAATCCATGTTGTTGGTGTTGTTGTTGTGAAGTGCCATTGAGTCGGTTCCAATCCATAGCAACCCTTTATAGGGTTTCCGAGGAGCAGCTGGTGAGCTTGAACCACCTTGAAGTTGACCTTGCAGTTCAAACAGCTTTGTAGTCTGGCGCATTAACCCGCAGCGCCACACCAGGGCTCCCATATGCCTCACTAAATTGAAAAGAATGAAGATAGCTGGGAGCAGAGACATGGATCATATGCATGGTTCTCTCCTTACATCTGGATCAGCAATATCTTTAAATTCATTAAGAATTCTCACTTTTAACTCTCCTGGTATACTTTAACTTTTATATCATTCCCACTCATAAAGTTTTTTTGTTGTTTTCATGGGGAAAAAATTATCAATTCATTCACTTTGACTTATTTTTTGTTGTTAGGTACCATCGAGTTGGTTCCAACTCATAGTGACCTTCTGCATAACAGAAGGAAACACTGCCCGGTCCTGCACCAACTTCACAATTGTTGTTACACTTGAGTCCATTGCTGCTGCCACTGTGCCAGTCCATCTCGTTGGGGGTCTTCCTCTTTTTCACTGACCCTCCACTTTGCCAAGCATAATGTCCTTCTCCAGTGATTGGCCCCTCCTGATAATATGCCCTAAGTATGAGACTAAGTCTGGCCATCCTGGAATCTAAGGAGTATTCTGACTGTTTAGATCACTGGTCATCTTAAATGGCAAATCCTTCTAGATGTATTTAATTTTTTTTTAAGAGTAGAATTTTACATCACAGGAAGGAATATCCAATGTTGATAATCCAACCATAAATAGAAAGTTATAGAAATACTTGTGAGAAAAGGAAAACTGCCTAAAGCCTTCAAAGCAACGGCATAGGTGACCAACTCTGTTAGGAGAATAACTTTATATCTTGGTTTAGAAAATTAAATCACATATTGGTTTGGGGTTTTTGTTGGTTAGTTAGTTGGTTTGATTTGTTTTTTTCTATGTTAAATTCTTATTTGCGACAGTGAAAATGACAGAATTAACATGTAACATTTCTGGTTTTGTTTCAGGGAAGCAATGTTATGGAAGACCAGGATTTGTTGGAAATTGGAATCCTTAATTCTGGGCACAGACAAAGAATTCTACAGGCAATCCAACTCCTTCCAAAGGTAACCAATGCCTTATTAGCTTGTTATTGTGGTTACGGGCCATCAAGTTGGTTCAGCTAATAGGCTTTCTGAGGCTAGAAATCTTTACAGGAGCAGAACGTCTCATCTTCCCCACCCCCACCACCCCCCATAGTGACTGGTAAACTGGAACCACCGACCCTGTGGGTCAAAGTCCAGTGCTTATCCTATACAGCCACTATGCTCCTAAGCCTTAAGTATAATTCCCAGCAATTTTAAGTCTAGGCATAATCTTATTTAGGACAACACTTCTATAAATTAATGCAGTGCCCAACAACAGGTCTTCTTATGTTCAACTAAACATTCAGGCTCAAAAACTCTGAGCCACACTTGGTATTAAATTTACATTTTTTGTTATTATTATTGTTAAATGCCATGGAGTTGATTCCAACTCATAGCGACCCTGTACAGGATTTCTGAGGAGCAACTGGTGGGTTTGAACTGCCGACTTTGTGGTTCACAGTCCAGTGCTGATCCTATAATGCTACACTGAGAGTGTTGGTGTTAGTTGCTGTCAATTGATTCAAACTTGCAGTGACCCCACATGTACAAAGTAGAACTACTCCATAGGATTTTCAAGGCTGTGACTTTTGGAAACAGATCACCAGACTTCTCTTCCAAGACACCTCTGTGTGGGTTTGAAATGCCAGCCTTTCAGCCAGCTCATAGTCAAGTTCTTAACCATTTGTGCCACCTAGGAACGCTAGATTTACTGAGAAGTTTGTAATACAGAAACACTTGTCAGTAGAGCAATATTAGGGTTTGCGATAGTTTTCTAGGCTGAAGTAACAAATTACCAGAAATTGGGTGGTCTAAAACAACAGAAGTTTATTCTCAAGGATCTGGAGGTGAGAAGTTCAACATTAAGGTGTCGCCAAGGCCAAGCTACCTTTAAAGACTCAATGGAAGAATCTTTCTTTGCTTCTTTCCAGCATCTGGTGGTTGCCTGAATTCGTTGGTGTTCATTGACCTGCACTTGGATCACTCCTATCTCTGCCTCTATTGTCATACAGCTTATTTACCTGTGTATCTTCCTTATAAAGACACCAGTCATTGGATTTAGGGCTCACCCTAATTCAGTATGACCCCATCTTAACTAATTACATATGTAAAGTAATTACATATTTTCAATAACCTCATATGCATGCGAAAGCTAGACAGTGAATAAGGAAGAGTAGAAGAATTGATGTTTTTGAGTTATGGTGTTGGAGGAAAATATCGAAAGTGCCATGGGCTGCCCACAGAACCAACAGATCTGTGTTGGAAGAAGTACAGCCAGAGTGCTCCTTGGAGGTCAGGATGGCCAAACTTCATCTCTCATACTTTGGACATATTGTCAGGAGGGACCAGTCCCTGGAGAAGGATATCATGTTT